CTATATAGATGGAGTTGAGTTTTAATAAAAGTTACAAGGTATTATTTCTGAAGGCCAAGTATTCAAGAAATGGAAATATTAATGAAAACGTTATATTTTGCTTACTTTTATAAAATAATAAGCAGAATTATTACTTTCTAACAAATGTAATATATGTTTTTATCTAACGCTGACTTCAACATTTGTACATGCATTAGTGCAACAACCGTATCGCTAGAAGTGTCTTTAGATGCATTTAGGGCTGGAAGTTTGAAACCAAGAAACATCTCGTCGGAATTGATTGATAATTTTATATCCATCAGTTGTGAAGCTGGTTAAGACCCGAGTCACCACACACCATCGCGACCGACACCAGACTAAACAAAAATTAACATTTCTCACTATGTGCAAGAATAGGTTGGTGTGGGGTCGGTTTGGCAGTGTGACTCGTATATAAGATAAAGTATGTATTATAGATTTAAAAGAAACTTTGGTTTCCTCTTGGGTGTATGGCAATATGTGTTTTTCGTGCAAGCAAATCTTCAGCTAGCAAAAAGAGCCCACACCTATGGCAGAGAAATTATAAAGAGACCAATCTGTGTACAAAAATGACAAAGATATGGACATGTAAATATTGCATTTGGTTCATAATAACTAATTTTGTATAGAACAGGATAATAATACATGTATGTACAAATCACAGTATTAATGTATTAGACATGAAACGTAGTGCCCGTATTGATTCTTTTAAATGTAAAAGGGAAATTGTTGCAATATTTCATGTACAGAGTTAATTTGTAAAATGTAAATAAGAATTCAGGATCTTAATAAATGTCCGTCTTTGTATCATAAAGGAATTCTTCACAGTTCACACTAATAGGAGGTGGTGGAAACATGCCATGATAATGCCTTTACTTTCCTAAATAAATTGGTGCATTTTTATGACTTTTTTCAAGCTTCAACAGTATGCAGTGATTATATTGAACAAAACGCTAGTTTGACTGCACATGAACAAACTTGTGGGTGCCTAAATTTCTTGCGCAAGAGGACAATTTTTTTAAACTGTTTTTATTAATCTTTCTTCATATTCCATTCCAGGATATTAACTTTTTAAGTATGTCATCGTCACAATCAATTTTAGAGATTTTATGTTTTTCTTAGGACTTGCTAGATTTGATACTGTAGAAAGTTAAACTTGTGTATTTTGTGTGCTAGAGTGTAATGTAGATAATGATATAATTCTAAAGTAGTGCCAAATGAATCAATTGAAATAGGTTTTTAGACCGTTTTAAAGATGATCTTGTACATTTGTTTTATTTGCAGATTACATTATTGCGTTTTAGTGGATGTGTAATACTTGTATATTTGAATCTATGTATAGTGAGATTGTATTGTGCATAGGCAAGTTGGAGATGATCGCAAAACTGCAGTAAAATGCTGTGAACAAAAAATAACCTCAGTGTCGACTGCTTTATTGAAACTGTTGTCTCTCCATTAGATATATTGATGTGTGAAGGTATTTTTTGGTGTGAAGGGGAATGCCTAATTCTAACTGCTGGATCTGAGCAATAATGAGAGATAAAAGAAAGGAAGAAAAAAAAAAACTTCAACAGAGAGTGAGGAGGAGATGTACATGGAGTGAGAGACAGAGAGAGAGATATACATGGAGTGAGAAAGAGAGAGAGAGATTTACATGGAGTGAGAGAGAGAGAGAGAGAGAGAGATTTACGTAAAGTGAGAGAGAAATAGAGAGATTTACATGGAGTGAGAGAGAAAGAGAGATTTACGTAAAGTGAGAGAGAAATAGAGAGATTTACATGGAGTGAGAGAGAAATAGAGAGATTTACATGGAGTGAGAGAGAAATAGAGAGATTTACATGGAGTGAGAGAGAGAGAGAGATTTACGTAAAGTGAGAGAGAAATAGAGAGATTTACATGGAGTGAGAAAGAGAGAGATTTACGTAAAGTGAGAGAGAAATAGAGAGATTTACATGGAGTGAGAGAGAGAGGGAGAGAGATTTACGTAAAGTGAGAGAGAAATAGAGAGATTTACATGGAGTGAGAGAGAGAGAGAGAGAGAGAGAGATTTACGTAAAGTGAGAGAGGAAGAGAAAGATTTACATGGAGTAAGAGAGAGAGAGAGAGAGAGATTTACATAGAGTGAGAGAGGAAGAGAAAGATTACATGAGGAGAGAGAGAGAGAGAGAAAGAGAGATTTATATAAAGCGAGAGAGAGAAAGAAATAGAAATAGAGTTTTACACAAAGCGGGAGATAGAAATAGAGAGATTTACATGGAGTGAGAGACAGAAATAGAAAGATTTACATAGAGTGAGAGAGAAAGAGAGATTTATATAAAGTGAGAGAGAGAAAGAAATAGAAATAGAGTTTTATACAAAGTGGGAGATAAAAAATAGAGATATTTACATGGAGTGAGAGAGAGAGAAAGAGGGAGGAGAGAAGGTTGTCTCCCCACTAGGTACATTGATACATGATGGATTGAAAATGCTTATTACTAGAGATAGTTTTGTGAAGGGGGAATACCTTTACTCTAAACAGAACTAAGCAATAATGAAAGATAAAAGAAAGAAAGAAAAACCTTCAAGAGAGAGTGAGAGAGAAAGAGGGAGGGAGGGAGGAAAGAGGATTGGTGAGATAGATTGGAGAGATCCTGTAATGTGTTTTTTTTAACATCCAATATCATGCTTATGAAATCTGTTCATCCATTTATTATCCAACAATTATTCCATCAATCTATCCATCGGTGTGTTCTTCCATCTAGATGTATATGTGAATCTTCAATATCTATTAGACCCTCCGCCAGTCCATCCTTCCACATCAACAGATCTATCTTTTTATTGCTCTTATCATTTTCACCATCCACCAATTTACTATCATTCAATCCATGCCTTAGTCTATTCTTCAATCTACATACAAGTTCACCAATCTACTAGTCCATATATCAATCCATCCAACATTTGTATCAATCACCTCTTCTACTCCTCCCTTCATTCATTAATCTATCTATTCAATCAGTCAATCCATCTATATTTATACATCAGTTTATCCATCCCACCAACACTATGAACATGACAGACAAAGAAAGCGGACAAAATATACAGTTCCTCAGGTAGACAAAGGAACATCCCTTCACTGCTATTATGTAAAAAGGTGAATATGCGTGTGACACCTGTTCTACAAATTTTTACATAATAGCAGTGAAGGGATGTTCCTTTGTCTACCTGAGGAACTGTATATTTTGTCCGCTTTCTTTGTCAGTCATATTCATAGTGCAAGCTACCATTATTCAATGCCTTCATCCCTCAATCCATTATTTAGTCTATTCATCAATCAATCTATTCTTCAATCTACATGTCAGTTCATCCACTCGTCAACCTATCAGCCCATCAATCAATCCACCAGTCATATTAATCAACTCTTCTAATCATCACTCGATTCATTCATCCATCCATTTACAGTCTATCCATCCACTAATCCACTGCTCAATCCATTTATTAGTCAATTCATCTACTGATCTACTCTTCAATTTACCCTTCAGTCTACATGTCAGTTCATCCACTCATCAATAATAATAATAATAATAATAGCTCACATTTAAAATGCGCCTAATACTTTGCTTCTAGGCGCGGAACATCTTTTTATTCATCCATCCCACAATCATATCAATCATCCCTACTATACTACTCATCATCTCATCCATCAATTCATTATCAATTGTTTTATCAGTCTCTCCACCTATCACTCTATCTACATCTCAATCCATGTTTGTCCATCTGTTTATAAATTTACCCATCTATCAATCAATACATTTTTGTTCATCTATTAAAGTCAATGACATCACATACCAATGTAACCAGCAACAAACATTAGTTTCAATCATGGGATGCAGCCTGGGTACCTTTCTATTCAAATAAATACATGTAACATCAATATCTTTTCCAATATAAATTTATAGCATTTTTTTAAAAGCAAAAAGTAACATCTGATTCTATTCATAACACTGATTACATTGTTGCAAAAGATCATTGTATCATATTCAACAGTCAGCATCTAGGGAATCAATATAATGTCCTCGAGTTGTGATCAACATGCAAATGAAACATAATGACAAGAAATTATTATGTAAGGTTAGATTTATCAAGCATTCAAAAATTCCTCAGTTCTCTACAAACTAACTTTTAAAGTGATTAGGTATCTTTGTCTCAGATTCTGAAACAAAATCCTGGATTAATCTCATGCTGCAATGATAATAATTAATAAAACTTTAGGTCAGTCAGGAACCCCTTGACTTTTACAAGCCTGTCTGACTATCAAGATATTTATGATAGGAAATCAAAGTTTTATTTTTCATTTTAACAGGTTTTCTAACACTACAGTCTACTGGGGGAAATGAGTACCGGTATGGTAAAACCGGTCACTCAAAGATTTTTACTTTTTTGAGGCACTTCATGATCATTTTGAAGCGCAATTTTTTTAGGGCTTCAATATTACACCATATCACATACACTGATAACACGTAGGGCCATGCATCTCAGATTTAACATGGTTTAACGATGCCTTTAAGTACACGTATTACCTATGCTCACCTATTGAACCCAGGATTATTCCTGATAATACCAACAAGATTGAAAATTGTCTTCAAAGATCATTCTCAAAGAGCCACCGATTGATCCCCATTTTCACAATAAATCAACCAATTTTACAGATTTCAATAGAATTGGGCAACATTTCTGACACGGAATGAGTCAACATAACATTTTCTGATTAAAGTTTGTCATATTCTTTGTAGAAAAAATAATTATATGCTCAAAAATATGAAGTGGAATGTTTATCATATTGCCAGACTTAAAATTTTACATTATTAGGTAAATTTGTCATGCAGTTATTTGATTTGAGAATGAATTATGAACAAATCCGCATGCATTTTGAATGTATGACCAAAGAGGTTGGTTCAGATATATGGTGCATTAAAATGCTGCAAGCAACAACAAAAAAATATCCATTTAGTATACAATAAATGACAACTGTGCACAAGGGTACTGCCGTATGAATTACTGTGCTCTTTTTTATAACTATAAGACACAGAAATGAGAAGTGTATTTCAATTTACGTCATCATTTTTAAAAAAAGCTACAGTTCTGCCCCTTCATATCTGAACGAGGCTTAAGTAACCGATTTCCAGGCTTCGACTCCAAGCAATCTTTGCCACCTTCTACAGAAAACTAGTGCATGACCATCAACCCGCTGACTACTGAATTTTCTAATTCCCATAGGCTTAACACAGGGACCACACGGTTCCAGTAAGCAATTGGTTAACATCAATCATGATGGTCCTCCAAACATCTTATTCATACCTCTAGAGAGTTTATTAAAAACTTTTCTCTCTCTCTTCCCCAGAAGTCTTTTCTGTTCTAGAAAGAGCCGACTCTCAGGATCTTCCCCCAAAGCAGTCTGTATATCCGTCCTGGTCTTCTCAAACTCGTCCAATGCGAGGTAAGCTTGACAGCGGCGGAAGAGTGCCTTTGCGTTTAGCGGCTCAATCTCCAGGGCAATTGTGCAATGGGTGATTACATCGTCGTATCGCTTTTGTTTCAGGTGGCACGCAGCAAGATTGAGTGAACAACCTTTCTTCAGTAACAGATACTGCTGTCGTTCTTCGTCGTCTAGGTCTTTGACGTCTTGCGGATGGCACACCATGATCAAGTAGCGACCGGCACGGATGTAGAAGCGCTCCGCGAGCTGAAGTTTACGCTCCTTGAAGCACGTTGTCCCGTAGTCTTTCAGCTGAGACACTCTGGTTAAGATATCCCCAACGCTCATCTTGTGGATGTCTTTGTTCCTTGTGAAGCTATGCAATGTAACGCGAAAGGTAGCCACCCTGTTTGATATTTGACCATCCCCCGCCTCACTTCTGAATTCTGCAGCTGCTGAACCATGGGTCTGATCAACTGATTCGACATGGTGTTCGTCAAAGACTCGGAGCTCACTCTCTTCTCCTTGATGCATAGTCTCCAGGCATGCGTCTATCGCTTCAGAGAACCTCCCACAGCCATCACCAAGCACGATATCAACCTGCTCACCTGTCGGATAACCTACGTCATTGTCCTCCAACGGATCCACTATTGAGATGGTGACCTGACAAGAAGCACCATCATTTGGGGTCGTAAACCCAGAACCCTTTTTAATGATGCGCTTGGAAAATGAGCCATCTGGGGCAGTCCACGAGTCAGTCTCATCTTTCATTTCTACATCATTTGGTTCAATCTCTTGATCTCCTCCTGAAGTAGACTCGTGTTTGCTAAGGTGGTCTGAGGCTTGAGGGTTGGTTGCTTCCAGGGAGTCCGCTGAAGATGGATCTTCCATAGTCCCGATTATTGTGATATCAGCACTGTTTAATCGGTCTTTGGTTCACTTATCACATCGCTTGAATATGCTTGACTGACCTGTGAATAGGAGAATAAGTATGCAGTCAGTCACTGGGGTGATAAATCAAATATGATAAAGCTTTGAATGTCATGGAAATTGTTTTTCTGAACAACACTTTTTCCTATGTTCGTACCTATTCAGGTTTTATGATATTCAACTGAGCATGCCTGCTCTAAGAGTAAGAAGTCATCAAAATGCTTAATATACCAGACTGAGCAGTATTCTATTTGAAGCCTTCATGTAAATAATGGAATCTTTGAGAAAGTCCTTATTTGCGCAAAGCCTAGGAAGAAAGAAACTAGGGTCTATTCAAAGATAATACAATGTAACAAATAGAATTCTACTTTTCTTCATGAAAAATTGCCATCTCTGTAAGAAGTAGAAGAAGATCAAGATCAAGGACAAGAACAAGAAGAATGAAAGGAAAGAGAGAGAAAGGAATGAGAGAGAGAAAGGAATGAGAGAGAGAAAGAGAGAGAGAGAGATAGATAGAGAGAGAGAGAGATAGATAGAGAGAGAGAGAGGGGGGATAGAGAGAGCGAGAGGGGGATATAGAGAGAGAGAGAGAGAGAGAGAGGGGGGGGGATAGAGGGAGAGAGAGAGAGAGAGGGGGATAGAGAGAGAGAGAGAGAGAGAGAGAGAGAGAGAGAGAGAGAGAGAGAGAGAGAGAGAGAGAGGGGATAGAGAGAGGGAGAGAGGGAGAGAGGGAGAAAAGAAAATGAGAGAAAACAATCAACGGCAGTGAAAAGTTTAAAACAAGTAATAAAATACATAGAAATCACTGCAAGCAGTAGTAAAATAGTACATCTACAAATGAATTCACATGAATGACAAAATATTTTCAAACAAAATCTATCTACGATTGAGCGACAACTGATGAACAAACATCGAGACATCATTATTAACTTTATATTAACACACAGAAAAGTGAGCATGTGGGACAACATATAGCAGACACAGGTACCAGAGTGCACAAAACCGATAATTTCACTCATTATTTGCGCACGAAAACTCATTGTCATGTTACCTGCCTATATTTGCTAATCAATTGACAATAAACACCCACAAATATCGAGTAGAAATCATTAAAAAACACGATTTACGTACCGAAATATTATTGGGAATCGGAAAAATCAAGATCAGGATTTAGCCTTTGTTCCAGACGGAGAAGCAGTGAAAAACTAGTTTTTTTATTTTAATAGTCTCGTGCTCAGCTATTACGTTGATTTTGCACTGTATAATATTTTGCTAACCTACAAGAAGTGGATCTATTTGTATTTTAGGGCTAACTTAAGCAAGAAAATTTCAGATTTTTATTTGATTTTTTCAATTCTTGGCTACATGTGCGAATTTAGGATCTTCATCCAACATAAAATATTCACACATATTGCTTAGAAATTTGTTTTTTTTCCCTCTCCCTCTCTTTTTCTCTCTCCCTCTCTTTTTCTCTCTGCTCTCTAGAACATATATGGCTTGAAATTCAATAACAAATTGTTGGTTTTTCTATGGCAGCCCCTGTCTGAACTAAAAACTTCAATTTGCAATGAACTTTTTTTTTTACTTCTTAATCATAAATAAACTATATACGGTAGGCACATAAGAAGCACACAAGGACACCACAAATTTCTTCCAAAGTTTATTTCAAAGTAAAATAAAATAAATAATTAGATCCAAAAAGACAACACAAGAAGTACTGGGCTGTATGAAAACGTCTGTAGCCCCAATATACAAAACATTTGCTATGGCTGGCTACAAACTCATAATATAAATTCAATACAACAGGAACAAAAAGGCAACTGGCATTGTTTAATGATATATGAGTGCATGTTCAATGATGTACGAGTGTCTAAATAAATACTGGTAGTAATATTTTCTACCAATTGGCAAATGGAAGCACAATATTGCAGCAAAAGAAGGTCACAAGGTATGTTCACAGTCAGGCTTCAAGTTTGGAAAGAACTGAGCAATAGAGCTTTCCAGGAACTGGACATATGTTTTGTAGGTTTGCCTATATTATGTCTCCAGATGGATACCAGTACTTGGACAGGAATTCAAAATCATTTCGGTCTTGGTATAGGGTATTCATTTGTAATTATGTACTCATTTGACGTACAGTATATAGAGCGATCTTATAGAATGTGCATACAGTTAACTAAATTATTCATACCCCATACAAATTTGAATTTTTGTGTTTTTTTGTATTAACTCCAGAATGAAAGGCGGACCAGCTGAGTTATAGGACTTTTGTTGAATATATACTTTTAGATGTAAGCTTTAATATCCCACATTCTCAAGAAACATAAATCATGACAATTCTTTTTTCACACACTTAAAAATAATTACAAAACTTGGTAAGGTTACGAATAATTTAGTTGTTGACCGTAAGATTATATGCTTGCTTTTGTGGCTTCAAGTTACATATTAGCTAATTAATCAAGCAATCAAGTAAATATATAATTGACCACTCGATCAATCAATCAATCAATCAATCAATCAATCAAATTAGTGAGATGCTGTCTGTTGAGAGCCGGAAGGGCTTTAAGTCAATAATAATGCCCTTCTGATTCTTGATCTATCAGAACAAATTATGATTTGTACAAGATTGAGTTAAATAAACATTATTTCATTCACATTTGGAATATAATATCTATTGCAACAAAAGTAAATAACAAATTCAAAGTAAAATATTTAACATTTCTTATAAATTTACATATTCTTTTATTTGGCAAAGGTAATACTGTAGAAATCATATTAAAAAAAATATATCAAAATCAATTCAGATGTACTCTAGTCATCAAAGTTGCTACCAACAAATATACAAACATTATTATTCTGTAAAATGATTCATTCTTTTTCATTCATTACTTATCCAAGATATGCAAAGAATAATAACTAAACATTAAAACTTGAATCAGCTTATGTAAAATAAAATCTCTTCTTGTTCTTAATTTCAAGGACATTGTATTTCATTTCATGAATATTCTTTTTTTTCTTCAAACTTCAGTTCACATTTTGGAAGGAGAAAATTGATAGCTAAACATATATCTTGGAAACACACTTTCATATTGGCTGTTACTCTAAATTTGCAATCATATTATAACAAAGTTTTACTCATATAATTGCATGGCATGAAAGCACATGATGGCACTATTTTGATGATTTCAATCATATATCGACTGCACAGAGAATGTTAATTCCATGGCTTTTCAAGCTATTGTTTGAATACATATTCCAGTTATTATTTACAACATACAATTGCAATGCATGAATACTCAAGGTGGTATTTCTTTATTGATCAGGTAGATTTGTGAATGCAGAGCTGCCAACCCCAACTGAAACAAAAATCCTATTCTTTTCCCCAAAAAAAATCCTACTTTTGATCAATAAATACTTTCTAACCAATTTGCATAAGTTCCTACATACAGGAAGAATTTTTTTAAGGACCATTGGTTGAATATGCATGATTTGGTCATGACTGGTGTTTTCGATAAACCAATGAACATCCCCAAATTGCTGATGTGAGATGCTTGTAGGAGACTTTACAGGAGACAATGGGCATTTTGCCATTGAATTTTTGTCCTTATTGAGGAAAAATCATACTGTCATATTTAATTCTAAAAATTGTACGAAATACAATAAAATCGTACTAGTTGGCAGCTCTGTTAATGTTCATCTTCATTTTCAAACATCCATCAATAGGCCCCAAATTTCATCTTGCCGTTTCTGAGGGGCATGGGAGAGATCTCTGGGGAGGTCTGGTGCAGTTCTTTCTTGAGCTGACGAGCAAGCCGTGCGACTGTGACGGGTCTGGGGGAGGTGGAGCCCTTCCTACGCCTTCTGGCTGGCTGCTGGCGTCTGGGTGTCGTCTTGACGGGGGATTCATCGGTGATGCCATCAAGACGATCTTGAAGGTCCTGCAAGTACAAATCACCAAACAAACGTGATGAAAGAAAATGTAACTGAATCCAACTTGAATTGTGCAAAAGCAGAAAGAGGTAAAGAAAAAATATAGATCAGTGATGCCATCGAGATGATCTTGAAGTTCCTGCAGGTACAAATCACCAAACAAACATGAAGGAAGAAAAAAATCTAACTGAATTCAACTTGAATTGTGCAAAAGCAGAAAGAGGTAGAGAAAAAATATAGATCGGTGATGCCATCGAGACGATCTTGAAGCTCCTGCAGGTACAAATTACCAAACAAACATGACAGAAACAAAATCCAACTGAATCCACCTTGAATTGTCCAAAAGCAGAAAGAGATAAAATGAAAAGAAAGTTATTCATGTTGTTTGACAACTAAAAACACTCAATATGAATCTCAATTTGGTGAAGTGGTCATTAAATTGTGATTTAATGTTATTGGAAACTAGTCTTAATTATCACACAGCCATGAATTTTCATTAAGCTTCGACATAAACGGTCCCTTCAGGCTTCAGATTTGACTAACCTTGAGTATAGCGACTTTCTTAGATACCCTCATGACCTTAGTCTTAGTAGTGCTGACAGGGGAAGGGATAATGACATCATCAAAGTCTAGCTGTCGTGTCACTTTCCTCAACGTAACATTGACCTTCTTGAATGGCTTGACTCTAAAATATAAACATTAAATGTTGAAAATTGTTGAATGTATATGTTATTTTCCGGGATGAGGCCCTTTGTAATCCATTATTAGGTTATTTGACTCAAATCAGTAACCCGTATAAAAATTGATAAAACAACCTTTACAGAAGTTTGATATGAATCATATTTGCCCCTTCAAATTTACACTAATTATATTTTCAACTCCATTCTCAAAGCAAACAAGCACAAACATTTTTTTTTATCATACTCCAATCTCTACCAAATATTCATAATATATGTAGGAATCAATCTACTACTCTTTCCTACTGCCCACAAAGTGCTAAACGATATGAAATAGTGAATAATTCACCAACTCCACATATATAATAATAATAATTTGATCAATTTAAATAGTGTAGCTATTACTACTGCAAACATTTCGGGCAGTGCTACTATCAAAACTATTCAAAAAAATTCCTGAAAACAAGTGTGTCTTCAGAAAACTTTGAAGACAGCAACAGATAAAGGCTTTTTTTAAATGTCTACTGGTAGGTTATTCCAAAGCTTTGGAGCATTGCAACTGAAAGCACAATCTCCAAGCGTTACTTTTGTTTTTGTGCAACAACCAATATGTTTGAGATGCATCATTTCTTGGACTCACTTTGGGATAACTTCAGATGCCGGAGGGATCTTGGCCAGTTGGAAGGTGACAATTGGTCCTCTGGTTACCCTGGTTACACGAGGGGATCTTCCTCTGGGTGACGGTTTAACTGGTGAGGGCGGGGCTGATCTTCTGGTGGCGGCTACCTGGCGCGTCTGCCTCGTCTGTTGATTGGAAGGAGGCAATGAGGGAGAAAGAAAAGAGACAGAGAGAAATGGGGATGAGGGGAGGGGGAGAGAGAAGAAGAGGTAAAGAGAGACATAAGGGAAAGAGAGAGAAAGAGAGAGAGAGAGAGGGAGAGGGAGGAAGAGGGAAAGAGAGCCAGAAGTAAATAGAGGGAGAGGAAATGAAAATAGAGTGGGAAATAGGGCGAGGGGGGAAAGTGGAGGGAGGGGGATAGGGTCAGATGAAGAAAAAGAAAAGAAAGAGAAAGGAAAGACAGGAGAGAGAGAGAGAGAGATAACAGAAAGAAAAGAATTACATACATGTATATATGTCAGTCATATTCATATATACAGTGTACATATGATAGAACAGACAATGGGAGATATATAGACATCAGTTACACTGTCTGAGAGAGTTATTCAAGACGGTGTTTAAGCTACCATGTCAACTTGGAAAACTCATTACAAATGGTATATTTCAAAGCTTCTTCAATGACATACATGGGTTATATATATCAGTAGACACAACCATTCTGCATACCTTTCTTTGTGGCGACACACTGCCCCTGGCTGCAGGCTTTTTACGGGCGTTGGTCAAGCGACCCGCTGACCGGGTCTTTGGGGGACTATAGGCATCCGTGGTGAACGGGGATCCAGTGGACGCAGTGAAGTCTGGCCTTGGCCACGTGGATGGACGCTTGACCGTCGGTTGATACTTCCTAGATAGGAAATGAAAACAGTGTCAAGGATGTTAATTCGTTTAAGGAATGTTTAAAGAAAGAAGTTGTAATAATAATGCTTGACATCAAGTTAGAAGCTCAAAAGAAACTGTATTAGTTGAAACATACATATCAGTACATGAGACTCCCACTGTAGAATCTATACAGAGATGTACCTGTGTAGTTGTGCATGCCTAACATATCACCACAAGGTTGAGCTATTAACCTTTAGACTTATAAGATATACATGTTTCATTACAGTAATTGTGATAGATAAAACAATTTTTTTTGCTAGTTTGGAGAGGCAATCTCAAACATATCAATTCATGCATATATATTTTCAAGTTATTTTTTAGATATTACACCAAATTACTGAAAAACTGGCAATTTAACATATACACACACTAATCTGTTTAAAAAAAATTAACAATGGCAGCAAAATAATGTGTAGCCAATTTGAATTCAGATATTTTTACTGTATCAATACTGATTTGACGATAACTACGTTCTCTGCATCGGGCACTGACCAGGTTCATATCTACTGTAGATTACATTAAAGAGCTCAATTTTCCCAGAATGATATTCGATTGAAGTTCAACAATGCTCTAAACCCTGAGGAAGTATTCTGTATATTTTTAAACTGTACTCCCTAAAAGTACATGTATACCCTGAAAACCCTTGATATTGCAAGACCGTTACTGAACTCTATTAGTGCATGATCTAAAATATTGGCTATGATCGTACAATGTAAAGCCATGAAGCAAGTAATGGCTTCTCTGTACATCATGGAGATAATTGTAAATTAATCAATATAACATTAGAAGCTGGGCACAGTAGGACAACTTTCCTCTATTATTTGGTCCCCTTTGGATATACATGTCCAATACATGTAGGTAATCATAAAGACTTGCCAAGATCTAGCAACCCCCACTTTTCTCTCTCTCTCTCTCTCTGCTGCAAATCTTCAACACATACAAGTAAGTATAATGCTCTGGTTTAGGGCATTTGGTTATTTTTCTAGAGACCTATCTTTTCACTGAAATATTGATGCTATAACTTGATCAGAACAGGAGTGATAGTCAAATGAGCACTAAAAAAAAAAAAAATCAACCCCCTACCCCCACCCCCCCCCCCCCTTGAGTAAAAAAAAAAAGGGGGATTCGGAGAAGGAAAAAAATGGCATCTAACAACATTCCCCCCTTTTGAGTAAGAAAATTGGGGGAAATCTTGAAAAATCAGGGAAAATCCGAAAGAAAAAAAAATCAGGATAAAAATATCAAAAAAATCTGGAAACCAATTTAAATTGGGTAATTATCAAGAGGTAGAATTTGCTTCTTACTTTGATTTATCTTCCAATTTGATGAAGTTTTCTCTGAGCTGACAAGACGGAGCAACTCGACCTGCCTTGCTGGATGGACGGAGTAAAGATGATGCTGCTGCTGCTTTTTGTCTTGCAATCCACTGTTTCAAATCTGTGTGAAGAATACATAATATACATTGCATTATAGTCGATATTAAGTTTGTTGCTTGCTAGTTTTGTATTTGATAGCAGATATTTTGATATTATTATAAAACTAGAATTTTAATTTTACTTACTGGGTGCAGGCCAAACAAAATTCTTTCATTTTCAATTGAAACTTCTCACAGGATGCCTAATATTAAAAAATAAAATGGCATTCTTCCTATAAGTACTTAATTATTATTTAATCTGCTAAATATTCAACACACCTCATGCCTTGTTTGTCTTCCCGTCTTGTATTTCCTTTATTCTTGTTTTTAACATAAGTACCAGGTAATTGCTTTTTTTGTGCCATGTGAGGTATGTTGATTACCTTGTTCTTCTGTATGTCTTTTATTTTTCTTTATTACACAACAAATTTCTATCATATGGATAATAAATAAGTTCAATTCAATTCAATCATTTTTCTCAGCAGGGGAATTGTAAGAAAGCAATATAATTGACAAAAGACATGACCATTTCCAAAGTAGTCCATGCTTTTTAAAAATAAGTAGAATATAAGTTAAATTGTGCCAATTACAATAACATTTTTAATTTCTGGAGGAGGAGTATTTATTTTCATGGGAAAAATTTTGTGAACAAAACAGAAAGTAAATTAATTACATTGATTTAGTATATTATTGTATTTATTATTTATTAATTTTTTTATTTATAGTCTACCTTCTAAACTAAGTACTTGAATTCCCCACTTTGCTGCTACACCAACTGCATAAGAGCGGACTTCAGGCTGTGAATTGCATAAAAATACATCAAGGTTAAACTTGAAGTAGGGTGGTCAGCAAACAAAATTCAAATAATATACTTTTGTAAGATTTGACCCTGGAAGGACCAACTGCTATATGTGAAGTGCAAAAGTCTTGTTTAGCCAGGATATAATACAAATAGTACAAATAATTGAATTTCAATAGTCGGTATGCATATTGCATACATTGTCAATGACACCTACCTACCAGCAACAACTAATGTATGCAATTCACATTCTGACTATTGAAATACAATTATTCATAATAGGTGAATGAAATAATTTGTATCAAGGCACTTAACAAAGATTTGAGCATTAAATTTGATTACATTACAAAAAAACTGTCTGTTGCTATGAGATTCCCCACTGTCCTACTTGTAGCTACTTGCTCCCTCTATATAGAAAACTTCCCCAATCAGTGCCTGTTGGTCCCCCATGATCCTCTTTTTCTTATGTTAGTTGAGAGCTGAGTTAATGAGATAGCCACCAGTCAGTGACCTTGCTGTGTGGTCTAATCCCTTCTGGCCCAGTACAGTAGTATTAACAGTCTTTAAATCATCATCAGAATAGATTAAAGCGCACAGTTCTATATTCTATCGCCCCAAAATTAAACAAATCATCCAAACATGTGATTGTCATATACATGTATAGGTCTACAGTGTAGTCTTTCAACTGCATGGCAAATAATTCATTTAGGTATTAGAATCTAGACTCTAGATCTAGACCTATTTAGTAATTAGACAAACTCAAATCTAAGATTTTCCTGTACCTGTTTTGCCTGGTTACTTCTTGTGACCATAGCCCTTCCCCGTGAATACTATAAAGTTATATAAATGTAAGAGCATGTCATATTCTGTATCTTGGTTTAGTCTACTGCCTTAAAAATGGCCAAAAGAACATGATTTGATTCAGTTTGTTGTTGTTGCAAGGACTACACAATGTATGAATCAATTTAAAATGAATAGGTCTAGCCCTAGAGTCTAGGCCTACTCTTTTAAATAAAATCACAGCAAAGATTCTAGAACTTAGAAGATTATAAATATGAAGATAAACTTACTACTAGACCCTATCCTGTCCCTAGATCAATAATAAATAATGCGCTAATGGCTAAGCTACTACAAAGTACTAGACAAGAACAACTTTAGCCAGGATCTAAGTTATAAATGAGCTAGCAAAACTAGACCTCTATAGACTCTAGATCTAGACCTAACACTACAGTAGCAAGTATGGCAAAATCTATTCAGGCCCTTTAAAAACAGATTAGCCTAGCTAGGGTCTAAATGCACAAAGCCAAAGAGTCTGAACTCTGAATCTGATATTTTATTCTTTGAGAGGATTCTTATTCAGAAAAAACTGGGCCCTTTCTTGATTGTCTAAATCATTTTCCTTTAACTCAACCTTAACTTGCCATAATCTAGTTACCTCAGGCTCAGTTCCTTTGCTCTTTCCCACAGGTGCACTGGACGGTCTGGATGCTCGTGTTTTCCTAATGAAAAAAAAAAGACGTCCAAAATCTTGAATAACAATAGGCCTATAATATAGGCTAAACCCCTAGTCATAGATCAAATTGACAATAACAGGTATAGATTCTAGGCCTACTCCTTTTAATCATTCTACAGGTGTAAGAAAATATTTCTTGTTCAATTCAAATATCAAGGATAAAAGAATAATTTCCAGACAGTCATGCCTCGGGTCCTGCCAGTTCTTGATGCCAGATGGGTCTACGGTGACGCCGCGCAGGCCGAGTCGGGTGAACGAGGCGCCACTACATGCTGCACTGCTGCTGGAATTGGTGGAAAAGGTGAAACTAGAAGTGCTTCATTTTGAGGCTCATTAATCAATTTAATAACAACCACATCACTATCCAATTAATATAAACGTTACGAAGCGAATACCATACCTTAGAACATAGATATCAACTTGACGCAGCTAAGTTCTATTGTTTTAACTTCAAAATGATGCAGGTTCTTCGTCGTCTGTATACTGTGCAGTCGCTAGGCTAAAATTTAAGACCGACTAGAAAAATACAGTTCGCAATTAATTCGCGGTTAAAATCACGCAGCTATATAAAGCGCTACATGCTGCGTACATAATAGCTAGAATTAAGGCTATGAAGGTCGAGAGTAGATCGAGGTCTCAGATCACATATTTAGAAGAGACGACTTGTTATAAATAATAAGTATGATGGGGGGGGGGGGGGGGGGGTGTGAACATAAAGCCTTCTCTTTCGCCTTCAGATTTAATTGTAAATATTCATCAAATAGCATCATCCATCAGTCAGTGATATCTGCCTTTAAAGGCATATATAATTATGATAATTATCATAATTATTCTCCAACATAATGTCTTAGAAGATCTATGAATTATTGCTTGTAAATTTCTTCAAATTGCTGTTTCAACGCATACACAACCTGTCCGCGGACAACAACATCTGGGTATATTCTTGCCTAGATTCGTTTAAAATAATTATGTGTGAACGGACTGAAGAAGAAAAAGAAATATTGGTGGTCTTCCCTGCCTACAAGTATCAATGCCTCGCTCAATCTATATTCAAGATGATGATTGGGGGGGGGGGGGGGGGGGGGTAAAGAGCGCTTCCTAATGGACCAGTTTATTTAGTATGTATTCACATTTATGTTCCTTTCTTGGGTTCCTAAAACTGAGTTATTTCGTTAACCTGATATTAATGAATGAAATACAATGACTTGGAATCCAGTCCGACTACCGTGTTGCTATGTCGGGTAAGCCTCTGGAATGCTTTCAAGTTGTCAAGAACAACCTTTGTTTAAAATCTCATGCATAAGATACATGTACCTCGTAACATGTGTATTCAATATTATTTCTATGCTCCATAGCAATAAGTACAAGGTTCAATTGAAATGTCGGGTAAGTTCCCCCCCCCCCTTCTTACTTGAAAGTATAAAGGTATCGACCTAAAGTAAGTAACTGCATTTTCTCTCAAGAAAACAAAGCGGGAAATTCAACATACCGTACATTTTAGTTTGCATAGAGCTTTGAAAAACATTTTCAAGCCTTTCAAAGATATTCCCGCCAGTATCAAGTCATTCTAAAAAAAATTGTCAACTATAATTCATATCCTTAATTGAAGGTCTAATTACCGTGGTGTAGATACATTTCCATTGGTGATGATGTAGTCGATCTCTTTGCTGAGGAACTTTTCCACTGTCCCACCCAATCTCTGCAGGTCATTCCCAACGGTTCGAGTCTGACCTCGTACTATGTCCAGAAAGAACGTATTTCCCGAGATCTCCTGGTGCCCGGTTGATCGAGCTTCGGAGCACATTCGTGAAGTAACAAAATATCAAGAAAGTTTATTATTACAAAATAAAGGTTCGTATATAATACACAAATCTGTTCATTCTAACTCGATAATGTCATAGTCCTCTTCCTTTAAAATGATGTAGGCCTAACTCAAAGTCATTGTGCCCCTTTTTCTCTCTGCTTGTAACTTTTTGTAAATTTTTTTAACATAATTTGTCTACCCAACCTGCATGCACACGATTTTTAGAATACGATAATAAGTATTGAATCTGAGATGTGCATACGAATATTATGAATATTATTAGGACATGATGTGGGCCTTTACTATATAGACTAGCTCCTTTGCTCATATTTAGCATCGGGTAATTGTTCTCCTTTTAATATGATTTGATTTGATTTTTCTTTTGCATTCATACTATAAGTACATAGTTCTTTTGATAACAATTAGTAATATAAAATACAATAAGTGTTTTTCTGAAAAATTAGTGAATCATAAATAAGCAAATTATATAACAATTGTTATTTTCAACAACGAAAATTAAACTGTCATAAATACTACATTTCATTAAACATTATAAAATTATTTGGGGAAGAAGGGCTGTCATTGTTAGCAGATTGATTGAAAATAAGACAGCCCCAGACAAAACTCATGAAATAGATTAACATATTTATCCCGCCGCCCCCCCCCCCCCCCCCCCCGCACTCAGTGTTATTTAGTGCACGCATAATATTATTCCCTCCTTTTGAAAACACCCCCTAAGTCCGGTGTGTAAAGTCAATACGGGCCGGATTTTTGTGTACTACGAGCCAGGCTTTGGTGCGTGAAAATTACCCCTTTACCGGACATCATCGGGAACACGCATGGTATCCCTCCGTTCACGGAGTGGGGGGGGGGGGGGTATTTATTAAGCAGAATTGATAAGTAATTGAAAATACAAATTATAAGGATGATGATATTGACAAGGCAGATGAGGATGGAAATAAAAATTTAAAGGAAGCATACTATACCTCCCGGTGCCATGTTGTGAATTACCAATGATATAAAGACATTATTCCAATTATGTTCACTATTTATTTCACACGCATTGTTTTGTTTGTTTATTGTGACCGCTTGGAGTGAGGCCTGCGCATCGCATTATGACATCATCAATACTATGCGATGCGCATGCGTCATCCGCGTTATCTTTATAATTTTGACCCTTTTTATATCGCGATTGGTTCTTCTTTCAAGTTCATGTTCAAGTTTTGTTTATATCTATTTCATCATTCTCATAAGAAGAATACACCAATTATACTTTGAAACAAAAATATATACATTGAAAGAAGCAAGACGAGGAGGCCTTGGAAAAAACTTAGCTTGCCAAGGTAAGGTCCCTCAAAAACGATGAAAAATAGTGTCTAACAATAAATAGGCCTATTGGTTAAATACTCTACAAGTATGATGAACAAGGTTATAACTTTATAATATGAAACATGGCAATAACACAAACAATGTTTTATAATAATTGGTCAAATACTTCAGAACTAACTATAAATATGGTTATCATACACAGTGGGTGGTATTCTCGAAAGCGGCCTAAGTTAAACCTGGCCTAACTTAGTCCTTGGATTAGTTAGGCCAGGCTTAACTTTAGTCCATGGACTAAGTCAAGTTCAATGCTCAAAAGGTGGACTAACTGCTCCATGGTTTAAACCCCTGGCTTAAGTTAGTATATGTACTGGGGGTATTCTCATAAGTTAAGCCAGGACTAAGTCCAGACTACACTAGAATTTTAGTTCACACTTCCGGAATGCAAAGCAGTTTGCTCAATATACTTCGAGTCTGCGCCTGCGCTGTTCTTGGAGTCAGTGCTTGGAGTCAGTTCCTCCTCTTTTTTCTTCTCCCGCTCCTCCTCCTCCCACTCCTCATCTCGTGTGCTCTATACCTCCTCCTACCCTTCCACCGCCTCCTTATTATCATCATCATCACCATCGTCACAATACTATATCATAATCATTATCACCACCTATCGTTTTCATCATCATCATCATCATCATCATCATCATCATCATCATCATCATCATAATCTACATCATTATCTCCAATATAGAAACCTGTGATTTTCCCAGAGAGGTGTAAATGAATTGAATGCAGAGAAATTTACGGGTAGAAGTATTTATTAATCAATAGGCCCAAACAAAGTCCAATACCAATCCGAGAAAAAATATATCAAAGAGAACGACATTAGGATTACGTCAAGTCAAGCAAGTCATGTTTGTATATTACACGTAAACACTATACCTCAAACAGTGCAGTACTAATATTAATAACAGTAGCTCAATCACTGACTGCTAGGTACTTTTATTGTAATAATTATATTTCTTTTTCTCACAACCAATCACCAATTGTTAAAAAGCAAAGCACTGTATTTATCTCATAATAAATTAAGATAGCAAACTACTTTGTGATTATACGCCTTGGAAATGGTTAATAATATGATGTATTTCAACACTACTTAAACAGCAAAGCATAGTATTTTATCTCATAATAAATTAAGATAGCAAACTACTTTATGATTATACGCCTTGGAAATGGTTAAAAATATGATGTATTTCGACACTACTTAAACAGCAAAGCACTGTATTTATCTCATAATAAATTAAGATAGCAAACTATTTGATTATACACCTTGAAAATGTAACCCCAAAAAAGTGCTTTCCGGTTTTTCTTATGTTTTATCCTTTAGCTAATCTTATCATTATGTGCATGACGAAAGAAATGAAATGAAATGACATAAAATCATTAGAATCTTGGTTGGAGTCGTTTGCCGACCATCTCAAAACGAAATGAGATCGGTGATGGGAAGGTCGTCGACGTTGCGTCTTTGACGACCACCACGCCCACTGCGATCTCATTGGTTTTCTTGGGCTGTCGGTGCCTTCATTATTATCATTCCTTCTGGGTTTCTAGATAAAAATACGGATTTCATTTCGATAAGGCTGAGGGTCCCATGGTTTGTCATAAGCTGTAAAAAAATAGAATAAATAAATATGGTCATGTAAACTATATTTTTCTTAACTAAGGGTAGTCTCATCAGCTTCACACGCTGTTCTTCCTGAGGGCCCTGGAATTTGTTAATGTTGTTTGCTTGTTTGTTTGTTTTACCGGACTGCTAAAAAGTCATTTGTATTTTTGAAGGAAGCAAGCAGGGGACCGAAGGCTTTAGGTCGTCTCCGAGGGACTTGTTATTTACAGGTACCCATTCACACCGAGGTGGAGAGTAGCACATGTGGATTAGTGTCTGGCCAAAGGACGTTAGTGCCGGCACGCTGAGATTTGAACCCTCAACCCTTGGATATAAATTGAGTGAATGAACCACTATACCACGACACCTCCATGATGTAATGATGATGATGATGACAATAATAATAATAATGATACTATTATGGAGATGCGAAGGTCGAGGGTTCGAATCCCGACACGGCACTAATATCCTTTGGCAAGATATTAACCTTCAATTGCTACTCTCCACCCAGGTGTTAAATGAGTATACCCGGTAGGATGTGACCGTCATTGTTGGTCAAACAGTTTTTAAGCGTCATGTAACGCCTGGCTGGAATGGCCAGGGAGTGGAGATTGTGCACACATTGTGTGCGGGCAAGCACTGAATCCAATGACCGGGGTAATAGTATATTTGTAAAGCGCTTAGAGTCATTTGTATTAAGCGCTATATAAAAAATTAAATATTATTATTTTTATTAATCATAATGAGAACAATAATAATAATAATTATAATAATGATAGTAATATTAATAATAATTATAACATTAACAATAATAATGATAATAATAATAATAAATACTACTTCTAATAAAAAAAATAATCATCATCATCCTCATCATCACCACGACCATGATCCATCAACAATAATAAACAATAAAGAAAATAATAATAGTATTCAGTGTTGTATGTTGTCCTAAGAGGATGGTTATCGGGAAAGTTTTCCTAAGTGGATGACTGCCACATGTACTACATAATTACTCACCTTCAACAAAGTAAGTGGTTGTATCGTATAGAAAGCCCTGCTCGTCAAGGTATTCAGAAAGCTGTTCGTATTTCTCAGTCGCATTGTGATTGAACGGTCGCCCACCAAAGGTGATGCCGTAGTACTCCAGAGGGTGTTCCAAGTAATCTAGCTCAATCCCAGAGTCCTTAAAAAAAATATGAAATCCACAATATCGATTAATTCTACTGAACAAAATGACTTTACATCAAGTCATTTTGTACTTCAATCTTTCAAAGAGATTAATGGATTTGAAACATTTCCTGTTGATTATCATGTTTTCAAACAGAAGTTGTAGCTTTTTTTTTGGAGGGGGGGGGGGGTTCCAACGTACCCCCAATTGGTTCGGCCTTATTCAAGATTATTTAAGTAACACTGCCTTTCAACAAGATGATAGTGAGAAAGAAAGAAATAACGAGTCCTTAGATCCTCAAAACTGCCGATGTAAAGGATAGCTTAATTAGATAGTAAGGATGCCAGCAATAACGGGCCAGGCATGTATGGCAGGCGGAACGTGCCATATCCATGACAGCTATACAACTTTATATACCTCACTTAAGAAATCCAGTCGTCTGATTGGTCGAAATTGGAGTCGTGATTTTAGCCATTCCCGTAAAGAAACGAAAAATGTCAATACCGGTTAATAGTCCAAGAGTGAGATCCCTCAAAACTCCGGTTACCATGAAAATAGCAAAATTTTGCTGTGATACCCATTGGTTTACGTGTTAAAATGTTCCTTGTGCAAGCGCGGACACCATACAGTGCTTTTTGTCTGCAATTCCCAATGATTGAAATTTTCAGTCATTTTTCAAGCAAAGACTACAGACAGTGTATCAGATTTTCAGTGATGTTTTAACCAATCTTTACTCAATCTTTTACCATGTTGTGTCAGCAGGGGTGATTTTTGCACTCCCAAATTCTCTGCCAAAAATTTCATTTAAATTCTGCTTTTGAATGCTTGTCTTGTGTAATCACATGATTAGCTAACTGCCAATATCCTTGTGAACACATTAAATCAATTTTAATTGACAATTCTGGGTTGTCATCGTGAAAATCTGCAAAAATCTGCAGACTTCAATCTAGCTTCTCAACTTTGCACAGTAAGCAAATGGATTTACCAGCCCCATATACTACCTCTTGTGTTGGTAACTGACATCCACAAGCCAACTTCTGCAAGTCTTCTGCAAGTCTTCTGCAAGTATTGATTTCATTTCCTTCTTCGCTTCTATGATGTTCATGAGAGTGATGGCAAGTCTGAGAGCATAATTGATCTTGACTTGGAGTGAGAAGCTGTTATAAATTTGACTTAAAGCTGTTTTTTTTTTTTTAGACTAGACTAGCACAAAGCACCATGCTCTTTAAAATACACCACCAGCTAGTCAACATTTGTCTTCCTCACCTCATAACCAAAGCTACATACATCAGCAGAAGAGACCACACACTCAAGCTCTCTGTTCCTGAGGCAACAATAGACTCCTACAAGTACTCATTTTACCCCCGCACCATTCGCATCTGGAATGAACTACTATTCACTGAAGTTACTGCCCCAACAGTTGCTGCTTTCCAGATGACCGCCCTCCCTGTCATCAGAGGGTTGGAACCTCCTGTACGTTCCAGAATGCTGTAAACCATATAACAGCATGATTTTTTACTTGCACGTCACTATTTTACTGTATAAAGCAATTCTACACCCTTTTGTTGTCTGCACCTTCACCTGCTGTCACAACACATCCCATCCCAGTATAGCTTGGAAAAGCTGCTTCAGGGATTACCTCATCAATTATCAAATAAGGATAATGTAAGAATTCTTGATAGATTTTTGTTTCAATTCGACATTATAAAAGACATATCGACTGCTTTAATATTCGAGGTCTGGCTGCTTTATATGCTGTCGGGAACTAGCAAGTCCTGCCATGACCCCTCGGCGGTCGGCGCTTTTTTTGTTTACACGCTAGCCAGGCCAGTTTCGCCATAATACTCGTAAAAGTGCACTGGTGGGAAAGCCTACACAAACATAATTTATATGTAAATTTTTTATTAATTTAGTCTTAAGGTATTTGTAGAGGACAAAGTCAGCCAGTCTACCTTTTTCTTGAATTAACAATGCCTTTACTCCTATGTGTAAATAGAATTGAAGTAGTTATTAATTTAAGTATGTGCACATAACATGTTATGACTTCAATACTATCCTTATGTTTCTCCTTTTTGTCTTGTTTCAAAATTATTAAATTCTGTTAAATTATTCTTCTGGTATTAAACTTGTTTTGATTGATTGTATAATTTTGTCGGAATAAAGGAAACAAAAGGCTTGACCGATAACTTATCAGCGTCTGAATTGAACTTTTGACCTTGAATTCCCTGATGCAAGCGCACATAAACAGGTTTTAATGACGTCATCTTCGCTCAATCGGTGTCTTTTATCGTAAAATGCTACACTTTCACAATGTTTATACATCTTTTGTAACTATTAGTAAGATATAACATATTTTGTCTGATATCACTGAAGTTTTTGGTTTTATTCAAAGAGTAATTTTTAAAATAAGAGCCATTTTACTGTTTTAATTTACTGGATCGTACCATTAAAGTCGCAGGATAGAAAGATGCATTTTCCAACCGCGTCAAATTTAATTTACATTTCGACATTATGTTAAATGGGTTCGTGTTGTTAAGAATCCACTGCTTTCTGCTCCACCAAACGTCCACATGTGGAATCGTTTATCAATTAAATTATTCAAATTTATGGATGCTTCCTTCCCAGGTGTTTGTGTTGTTGAAGCATTTCATTCACCTGCTATCATTCTTTGTACTCCAATTGCCAGAACGCAAATTACATTTTGGTTTTATAGTTTCATACCGAGTCGTTTATCAACTATATGTATTCAAATTTATGAATGCTTCCTTTCCAGGGGTGGTGTTTATGCATTTCATTCACCTGTCATTATTCTTTGTACTCCAATTGTTAGAATACAAAATGCATTTTGTTTTTATAGTTTCATTCAATAAGTAAGTCAATAAAAGAGTATGTTCTGCATAATAAATACATATTGTCCTATTGTACAATGTAATGTGTCCCCTCATTTGTAATAGTTAATTTACCCATTCACATAATGGAACTACCTGCCCGGTGAAGCCAGTGGCCCGTGACCCCTGAGCACTCAACACCGTGTGGGAGTCAGTTTGATGTCAACTTCTTTTATGAGACAAATCAAAGAAAACGTTTCCATAATTATGTGGTCTGTATTAGATACAGCCCACCTGATTATGAATATTATATTCATAATTCCTGCAAAGTTCTACATAATTTGTTGTTAGCTGAAAAGGGGATAGGGGCCTACACTACCTGGGCCCCCCCCCCCCCCCCCCCCCCCCCCCCCCCCCCCCCCGCTCCGAGAACGGACGGACCCCATGCGTGTTGCCAACATGTCCTTTTCGTAACAAAAGAAAAAGGTCGACCCGTATTGACTTTACACACCGGACTTTTGCTGAAAGGGGGGGGGGGGGGGGGGGGGTCGGTTGGAACACGCATATGCGTACCCTAAATAACACTGAGTGGGGAGGGGGCCGATACCTGGGCTTTAAGATTTGTACCTGTGATGGGGGTGGGGCGGTTGCTTGCGAAGCTGCAGGGATGTAGAAGAGAAGTGCGTAGCTTTTGTCACAGCAAGGGAAAGATTCTGATTGATCGGGACACGAAGATGGCGCGGCTGTGTTTTCCGAGACTCTCACAGTGATTGGTGTTGTTTTATTAATCCCGTTGTCTAGCAAAACAATTCGACATGAAAGAAATGTTGATAGAATAAGACGAAGCAGGGTGAGGCATAATACAATATTTATGTTTACAAGTTCCAAAGTATACATCCCTATTACATCGGTTTGAAACAATTCATCAAGATTTAAAAAAGAAACGGAATATAACATTGCCAAAAAGAAATGTAAATTGCCGTTTCATTTTAGGAAGCGGAAGTTTAAAATCTCATCTGCTATCTTCACTTTTCTCCCATGTCAAATGACTGATTTAAAATGATGCTAATATTTTAAAGGAGGACTGGGAGTCAATTTTTCTTGTTTGTTTTATTTCAAAAAAAATGAAAATTAGTAGGTATAGTAAGATATCTGTAAAAGTCCTCATTCCATTTTCTTCCCTCGGCATGTCCCCCCTCCCCGCCCCCTCCTCCCTTCCATCTCTTTTCTCTTACTTTCTCTATAAAAAGGCTTTTATATTCAAATAGAAATAGGCGACTGGATTGCTATTTTCTATTTTGGATAATGCTTACTATTATTCTCAATAATATTAGAGGTACATTGTACACAAAATATATGAATACATAAATTATGGCAATGTACTTTCAAAGCTAACGTAAAGAAAAGCAAGACGTAGGAAATCAAACGAGACTAAAAAAATAACCGGAAAGGTTTTTCCCATGTATAATTCGAATAAATGAAATTCATCAAGAAATAATCATCAACAAATGTTGTAGAAGATAATTTAATTTTATCAATTTATTGCCTGGTTACCGTCCTTTTCAGGAGTAGAATGCATTATGCTCGTGCACATAAACTTAATTTTTGTTTGTTTTTGTTTTACAGCAGCTAACCAATGTTTTCCATTTATTATCAAATACCCGTTTAAACTTAAATTGTTTTTAACATAGGTTTAATATTGTAATGAACGATAATATCTTAATATGGCTTTGAAATAATTGATCGACGATAAGCTAGATTTACGTATGATGGGAGGCGTGTAGTATTTGGCGTATAAGATAATAAAATTAGATCGAATTCATTCACTTCCATAAAATCCAACCAAAAGCTGACCTTATTTAAAGTAATTTTATCATCTAAAATCAAATGTTGGATAAACATTCTTATAAATTTGGCAATCTCAAAATAAGTGTTCTATGCTTTCTTCGGAATTATAACAGAATGTACAAAAGCCTGATTCTCAAAGCTTACCCACAAAGTAGTTATGGAGGTCAAAAAAGGCTAGACCTGTTACAGCAGATAGGCTGCAGGTTGGAGCGACCTTACGCGCCCAAACTCCTGGTGGTTCGAGCCGTCTCTTCCACATATTTGAACCAAATTCTTCTAATGTAGTATAGACGGGGCACTCTAAGACTGCAGATAGATAATTAAATTGATAGAAAGGTAAATAGATGAAAACAACAACAAAACAAACATGGATAAATATATCAATAAATGCACAACTAGAGAAATAACTAAATACATAAAAAAAATACTTGTATACATAGTCTACTAAATGCACAAATACATATATACAAATAAATTAATATATCTATTGAAAAACTCACTTGCACATTGGGGAATTCCATTAGGAGGCTGTGGGGTAGTCGTCGGGGTCGGGGTCGTGGCCTGGGTCGTGGCCGGGACTGCGGTAATCGACATCGCGATGAAAGTGAGGACACAAACTGCCAACATGATTAACGATACTGTGTGAAGAAAACAAATATTGAAAAATCTTCTCAAACCCGACGGCAAAATTTTCGGGAAAAAAACACAATTTAAGGAGATAAAGCAACTTTAATAACTAAACAAACGTGCTAAGGGTAGAAATTGATCTCATTCTTATTTTTTTTAAGCAAATAAGGTGGACGATGCTCCGCATGTTAGTACATGCCAAGAAAACATCACTTACGGGTGTTTAAAATCGCAGCTTTGCGGCTCGAAGACGATGCTCTGCATCGTAATTTGGTCAACCCCCCCCCCCCCCCGGTGCTAACATTTCACACTGACTATATGCGTACGCATGATTATTATAAGTTACGTGTATAATAAAAGTAATTTTCAGGGCGGTTTGCAAACACTAAAAAGCCCACATGTACATACAGACTAAGCAGCGTTTTTCAACTTTTTTTTTAAAAATAATCCGCATGGCACTTGTTTCAAAGAAATAAAACAGTTTCACGTCACCCCAGTCCTAAATACTTTACAGAAGATTCAGTAAGGATCACTCCAACATGCGTCAAGTGCCATCTACACTTTGGCAATTTTTCTCTCTAAATTTTGCGAGCGACCGGAGCAAGCGTGCAAAAAAATTATGACACTTTTGTTATGATAACAAAATGTACCTTATGATTAACACACGTGATAAAATATAGAATTAAGAGTGCGAGCATCTCGCTGCAGAAAACATGAATGCCAAAATCATATGATGCGGTCAAGTCGATGCACGAACATGAAGAGATTCGGGCTTCTCATCGGTCAGAATAATTATCATCTTTCTAAATATTGCGAGCGAGTGAAGCAAACGAGCGTGGTCAAAATGTAATTTTGATATAAAGGGTGTAATATATATTCAGGCAACTCGCTATCAAATAGAAGGCTGTTTGGGCACTTCGTTCCTCAACTATGAAGGTATTCAGGCACTTCGCTCCCAGAAATTATCCTGTTTTTAAAAGTTGTGAGCAGCAAAGCGAACGAGGAACAAAGACACTCTATCACCTTTAAAATGCCATTTCCTCATTTCGGAAATTACATACTCTAGCGGTTTCTAATAATTTGGTTTTTACGAAATGGACGTTATTCCCAAATAATGATTTTTTAAAGATTCAAATTCTCTCGCGGCAACCTGGTTAGTGAAAATTAAGTGCTTAGCACAAACTCTAATCAAATATTATTTAATGCGCTCTTTGTTCAAGAATTTGAAAACGGGTATTTCTGTGAAAAAAAATAAGTTAATTTGAAGAAAAGCGTCATATTCTCAGTATTGATGTTCGCAAACTTCGCAGATCGACATCCTTTTTGATTTTTTTTTGTTTATAATTGTGTTGTGAATGTGTACTCTATAAGATTTTTAAAAAAAGTGTTAGACCTATAGTTTTTATAGTTCCCATATTGTACTTGTTAAAGTAAAAAGGGGTCACGTACGTATTGAGTATAAAATATTCTTAACAGTACTCAAAACTAGAGGGTCGTTTTTTACTACGCGCTAACCGCCATGATCTTCGACTTTAGAACATTTTGTTGTAAAATTTAATGAATTGGCATCACTGCGTCCACTAAACGTAACTTACCAATGGTTTACTGTATTTGTAGAGAGTCTTATAGAGTCTTGCAAACGGCCACCCTATGTGCTGCTCAGTGTATGACGTTCTGGTCTGCCCGTATCAACAGCTTTGACTCCAAGATGAGGATACTGGTGGTTTTATGGCTTTCCAATAGTAGCGTATGAAGATGCCAGGCCGGGCGGCGATTTTTTTTTCCCAAACAGGTTTACCTATGAGCGTAAAATCCTTCCTCCTGATTGGTTCAGAGGTATACGCATCATGAATATTCATGATTGAGCTGCAAAGATACTAGTAGTATTACGCATGCGCGTGATGCTAGCTACACTGCATGCATGCGCAGTGATTGGTTCAAAGATGTAACTTTTACATGAGCAATTATGGCGGCGTCTGAATCTGAGAATAAATAGTGAGAGTTCAAGTTTTAATTAAAACTGGGATATTTTAAAGCTTAAATTCATGAAAGTAGGTCAAAGGTTATGAACCTGCTGATTGTATTTATTGTTGAAAGCTCAAATTAATGCAAAGAAATGGAAGTCCTTTAAATATTTTTTTTATTCTGATTTAAGTTGGATGATCTTCAGAAAAGAAGTTTGAAGATATATATAAAAGATTGAAAAAGGACTTAGTCAGATAAATCAGTATAATGTGCACTAGGTATGCATATTTATAATAAAAGCTTGTCTCTGACATGACTTACGTAGAGCCTGTATGTATTACTTTATGTCCTTTGTATTTTCTTTGGCCAGGTTCCTCTGTCACAAAGGAACCAGAAACACTGATATGTCAGGATATGATGCCCAAAGCAACACAGTAGCTTTGACCCACACCCAACCATCTCATGTCTTCAAGGACCATCCTGATAAGATCATACTCAAACTGCCAATTTGAGATTCGCATATGATTAGGGATCTCATATTTCAAACATCCATAACTTTCTTATCATTGGTCCGATTTATTTTAAACTTTCGCCATTATGTTTATCTTATTTTTCTGCTTTAATACTAATGAACTTATTACAAGGGTTGGATTGTCCTTTAAGAAAATGCTCATTTACAAGCACAATTCATGATATTCTCTTTGCATTGATCACACAATCTTGAATATCTTTTTTATGAAAGTATATTTTCAATTTCTTTGGTAATTTATCAACAAGTTTTCTTTCTTGTACTTACTAAATCTTTGAGGTTAGTACACTTATAAGTTTTCATGTCCTGTTCGTGACAAAAAACTTTCATGCACCTTTAATACACATCTTATGCAATTTTAAATGATGCAATGGACAAGTTAACAGGTAGATCTTAGATAATAAGACAAGACGTTAGTAGGCTGTTTCAAATAATTTTAGGTTATCCTGTCGATTGAAACTATATCCTTTGAAAGCTTAGACAAATTGGATCACTTTAAACACAGTGCGCCCCACATTCTAGAGCACCCCAAAAGTACCCCTTTATTTCTTTCTGGAAAATGCCCCGTTACTTCAGATAAGTGTCCAACGCCTTTTTCAAAAGTGCCCCTTTTCACCTCTGATGAGTGCCCCTTTTTAAATAGGAAGATTGTATCTTTGTACTTTGTACTTTGTACAAGGAAGTGCCCTTTCTAACAAGTGCCCCATCTCACTTCTGATAATTTCCCTTTTCTTATCTAATAGATTCCCTTTTTACTTTGACAAGTGCACTGTTGTAATAAATTATAATAAATTGTAATAAATGCACCCATTTCACATCTTATAAGTGCGCCTTTTCAGGTGCAAGAAGTGCTCCTGTTTACCTCTAAAAAGTGCCCTTTTTCCTTAGCTTGTAATAATTGCATTTTCCCTTCAAAGAAGTGTCCCCTTACATCTCTGATGAGTACCCCTTTTTACGTATGAGAAATACCCATTTTAAGCTCTGATAAGAGCTCTTTTAAATTTAAGTATAATTATATAAAATATAAGTTCCCCGTGTTACTTTTGATGTAATTTCCCTTTGATAAGTACCCCTTTTTCATCTATATATCCCACTGTAGCTTATAAATTGTGCCCCTTTGCAGTCATCTAAAGAGCCATAACTAGTTTCAAAGAATCGAAGCAGCTTTTTGTAGTAACAGGTTTCCTTCTAAAACCACAATAAAAGGTTGTAGCCGAGGGGCAGGGGGTGCAATGCCCAAATATTATATGAACGAACTGTGCCCCTTTTAGAAACCTAATCGTGCTCGTTTTCACAGCTATAGTATAAGTGTGTCCTTTCCACACTATTAAAAACGTTTGCCCCTTTAAAGGGATCCGGTAACTTTGTCTCAGATTCTTAAACAAAATTCTGGATTTAGATCATGCTGCAATGACAATTATAAACCTTTAAGTTAGTTAGGAACCCCATGACTTTTACAAGCCGATCGCCTGTCTGATTATCAAGATATTTATGATTGAAATTACAAATTTTGAAAACCGTTTGCTAACGGTTTTCATAACACTACAGTCTATGGGGGAAAACGAGTATGGTAAAACCGGTCACTCAAAGATTTTTACTTTTTGGAGGCACTTCTTGATCATTTTGAAGCGCCATTTTTCAGGATCCAATATTACATCATATCACAGACACTGATAACACATAGGGCCACGCATCTCAGAATTTACTTTGTTAAACTACCTTGGCATATTCTATACAACTGCTAAAACACGCATTTTCCTACCCACCATCCTATAAATCTCATGGTCTTTTGAAATTCTTGGAATTCCAAGGTAATCAATTGCTTTTGTCCATGAATGTAAAGGTTTAGTATAACAGATTGTAATATCAGATGTTAACAACTAAATTTGTACATTCACAGAAAAACAATTATTGCATTATAATTATTCAGTAGTCATCACACAATTTTTCACCGAAGGTCATTGGAACACATAATAACTGACTGCTATTTAATTAATATTTGGGTATTAGAATTACACAATTTGTAAACATTATTTTGCTGGTATGTCCGGGAATATATTTTGTCCGCTTCTAAACTGTATGAAACCTATTTTGCATTTTATACGTGAATTGATATGTATACGACTACAAATTTGGATCTATTATTACCAATACCATCATCGTCTTCATCAGCGTCAAAATGGCTGTGGGAAGATATTTCAGCCAAAATTGATCCAAATCAATTTGGAAGTAGAAAGAACACGTCTACCTGTCACTATCTGTTTGGGCTGTTGTATGCCTTGTATAGTAATGCTGACAAACCTAAGTCACTGTCAACACTCATTCTGACTGGGGCAACTGCCATTTTAAAAATGATTGTTAAAATCATATTCTGACAAGTTCGGGCTGAAGCACATTTAATGTAGGTCAAAAGCCCCTATAGAGTACCTTTTAAAGTAGATGTTTATTGATTTTAAAAACTAACTTGATTATTGCAAAGGTGAACATTTGATTGGAAAAGGTTATCAAAAT